AACAGAGCCCTGCCCTCTGGCTGTGAGCTCAGGCGCCACCAGCCCTGGGCCAGGGGCTGTGCCCCTCTGGGTCTGCACAGTGGGACCGATAATAACGCCCTCTTTCCAGCTGTGTTAGTCTCCTTCTTGCTGTTGTGACAAATCCCCAAAACACAGATGTACCATCTTACAGTTGTAGAGATCAGACGTCTAAAATGGGTTTCACTTGGGTAAAAGCAAGGTGTTAGCAGGGCTCTGCTCTTCTGGGGGTGCTGGAGAGAAGCCATTCCCTTCGCTTTTTCCAGCCTCTGGAAGCAGCCTGTATCCCTTGGCTTACGGCCCCTCCTCCATCTCCAAAGCCATCAATGTGGCATCTTTGGATCTCTCTCTGACGTGGGCCCTCCTGCCTGTCTCATAAGGACCCTCGTGATTCCACTGGGCCCACCTGGAGAATCCAGGAGAATCTCCCCATCTCAGATCCTTAACTTTAATCTGCCAAATCCCTTTTCCCCAGAAGGTAACATGTTCCCAGGTGCTGGGGATTAGGACATGGCATTCTCCTGCCCACTGCAGCTGTGAGAACCACAGTGATGTGTGGGGAAAGGACCACATAAACTATAAAGTCCTGCACACGTAAACTATTAGTAGTGGGCCTTCTTTGTGCCAGGCCCTAGGGATGAGGGATGGATAAGGCCGCGTCCTATGGCTACAGAGACCCAGGGCTGGACTTCACGAGATTCCAGACCGGGGCACTCAATGCAACAAATGGGCACATGGGTACCTTCCTCAGGAGAGACTGTGTGGCTTTCAGACTGGGTACTTTTGTGCTGGTCCTTTTATACTGCGATCCAAAGGCCATAGCTCAGATGTGGAAACCCCTCGTAGCCAGGGGTGGAGAGGAAAGAAAAACAAAAACAAAAAAAATACAGCGTTTCCAATTTTGGGACAAGCAAGGAGCCAGAGAGAGAGGTCTCTAATGTTGAAGGGCCTGGTCCCCATAACCCTCTTATGAGGGAATCCACTGGCGGGGAGCTGACCTCTGCCAGGCCTCGGGTCCCACATGGACCCCTCAGGACAGGACACAGGAGGCCGGAAATGCTCCGATTTGCAGAAACAGTGAGATTAAAGGCAAGCCTGGGATTACAAACAACTCCACACTGGGGCTCAGCAATCTGGAAAGCCCTGAGTAACAACCCAGTGACTTGACTTTGCCAGGGAGAACTTCCCCCGGGGCTGTCTGTCCAGCTGTCCCCCCCAAGACCTGCATGCTCCTCAGAAGCCACAGGCCCTCTAGCACCCTGTTTCTATTCTGTTCGAATGCTGCTTTCCTGAGCCGGGCCTGGCCCTCCCAGTACCTGACGTGTCCGGGGAGGATGGGGCTTCTCGGCACTTCCAGGAATCCAGCTGCCCAACCGCTTCCCCAGAATCCAGGCCCAAGTAAGAGACTCTGACCAGTCCATCTTGTCTGGATACCCAGGATGGGGCAGGACAGGTACCTCCCGGAAGCCAGTAAGAATCCCTGCGGCCCAGACAGGAGCCAGAAGCCCGACCCAGCAGGAAATACTAAGGCTGCAGGGGGCCCCGTGGGGGTGGCAGCAAAACCGGGCAGGAAAAGCAAACAACTCCAGAGGGGGCCGGTGCCCTCAGAGGGAAGAGGTGCGGGCCTGAGTCCAGGGAAAACACAGGAAGCCAGCGACCCACACGCCCTTGTTCCAGCAACCACTGGTGCTCTGGGCAGCTTCTTCAGCCAGACGCCCCCAGGGAGAGCGCAGGGTGCTTGAGCGCATGCGCTTCCAAGTCCACCAGGCACGGCCAACCCCACAGGTTCCAGTCGACGGCTGTGGGGGCCCACGGGCCACGCTCCAGCCCCACAAATTCTCGGCTGAGCCACTTCAATTCCAGCCTCGGGTCCTCTTCGAAAAAGTGGGCAAGACCAATCACCCCATCTCCTAGGGCTACGGTGCTGGGAGAGGAGATCATATGCGTGGCGCACTTAGCTTTGGTGGGACAGGCCACCCGGCCACTCGGAGTCTGCCTCCCACCGGCCTCCGTCCCGGCCCCTGTCGGAGCCAAACTCAGAGCCCAGGTTCCAAGACCCCATTTCCACACTGTTCCTCCTTCTCCTCCTCTTCATGGAGACACTGAAAGTTGCCTCCTGTGCCCGTCATTCATGCAACACGATGCCTTCAGTACTCCCCCCGGGGGCAGTGTGCTAAGCCGTGAGGACCCAGCAGCAAAAGTAAGACCCCACTCCCCCACCCTAAACACCCACGTCCCAGGCCTGTGCGAGGGGGTTGGGGGGGACACACCTTCACATCCTTCCCCCAGAGGGGAGGGGGCTGTTTTTACTCTGCTCCCATTTTATGGGAAGGGGCCTCGCCCAGAATCACATGCTGTGGACACTCTGCTTGGCTCCCCAGGTGGGATCTCCGGAACCTACTGTTTACAAACTACTCTCCTAAGAACTAGGAGGCAAAGGTAAATCTCTTAGCAGGCAAAATGCTCACACCAGTAAACACACACACACTCAGATTGTCCATATGCAGTCGGCCACACCACCACCACCCCCCCCCAACCATGAGCCAAAGTCTGAGGTTCTGGGTCCGGACCTGGAGTCCCCAGCACATCCCTGGAGGGCAGTGCTGTGGTCAAACACCCAGCCTCCAGGTGCAGAAGCCTGCAAGAAAGGAGACTGACTATCCCCATGTCACTGATCAGAAGTGAGGCTCGGGACAGGAAGCCACTTGCTCAAAGATGCACAGCTAACGCAGAGAAAGACTTGAAGCCAGCTCCATGTGGCTCGGAGCCCAAATTCCCAGGTGTCCCAGGACCTAGACTCCAGCCCTCACTTCCACACCACGCTCCTGCCTGGCGGCTCACCAGCGGGGACGTGGGATGAGGACTGGCCCTGCTTCCCTACCTAGCTGGGGGTGAGCACCCTGAGGGGGGTGAGGTCACCCGGGGGCTGCAGCTCTGCCAGGATCTGGGCAGTTATTCTAACTCTGTCGTCAAGAGTCCCCAGAGGCCAGGTAGGCAGCCAGGCAAAGCCCAGGGCCATTTCCAAACCTCTGGGCAGGGGCCATGGAGGAAATGCAGGGAGATTTGGTGAAATGTCCTCCACTGGGTGGTTTGCTTTTTCAAAGCAGTGTTTGCTTAGTGACTACCTTTAGGAAAGTCGAAAAAAAAAGAAAAAAAAGGAAAGCAATTTTTTTCCCCTTTCTCTTGGATAACAAAGAGAAGGATGGTGATCTGAATGGATTCTTCTCCCCGAGGGTTCCAGAGCGGAAAATCACCACCCAGGGAAGGCGCTGGAACTGAAGTAAACAGAGATCTAGAAAGGAGGGTGCAGCTGGGAGCACACAGAGAGCACTGGATGAGGAGTCCGAGGCTGCCAGCATCTCACAGTGTGGCCTTGGACAAGTCCTGCTCCCAATCTCCGCATCTGTGAAACTAAGGGCAGGCCGGGAGGCCCCTGAGGACCCCTGCCAGGATCCAGTGTTGGCCCAGTTAGGGAACTCAAAAGTGACATTTATTCAAGCCAGATGTTGGCGAGACCCACCCGGCAACGCAGGCCCAGCCCGAGAGGTGGAGGCTCTGAGCACACAGTCTCCGTCCCTCCCGCCCCATCACTGGAAACCCCCAGCCGGGACAGGACAGAGAGCATATCTGGTACATCCTTTGACCAGCATCTCCTAATTCACAGGATGCTCTAGATGGTATTACTTCCATCGTACAAACAGGGAAACTGGGGCTCAGAGAGGTTCCCAGGCAGCCCAAAGCCACCCAGCTAAGTGGGGATTTGAGCCTCCAGAGCTCACTCCCTGGTGCTGCCAAGAGATGGTGTTCGAGGGGGCTGGGGCTGCCCCAGGGCGAGCCTGAGGACAGGTAAGTGGGCAGTGGGTTCAAGGCAGAGGCTGGGCCCCTCTCCTGGAAACACTCTCTGAGCTACTTGACCAGCGGGCTGATGATAACAACATGGTATACGGCCCTAGCTCTCTGGGCCACCAGTCACCACCTCAGCACTGCACCAGCCCCAGCCAGACACCCAGTCTGGCCTCCAGGAATTACAGGGAGAAGCTGGGCAGGGACGGGCCAGGCTGCCGAGATCCTGACCCTGAGTGGGCAATGGGGTTCTCCAGGAGGGTGGCCTCGAGGCTTGTGGTGCGCTTGCTCATGGCCCACTCCCCTTCCCAGCCCCCTGCTTCTGCCAGTAGCTTCCTCCAGTAACCGCTCCTCCCCGAGCCTCCCCTCTCCCTGAGCTCTCCGCCTGGGCCCCCTCCCATCGGTGTCCCAGTTCCCTGAGCATTCTTCTCTGGGCCATTCTCCTGTGTCTGCATCCCCCACTAGACTGAATTTCTGGCTAGCTTCCTTCCTGGCCCACCCTGGAGGGCTCTAACCCCTGGGAGATGAGAACTCCCCTGCAGAGGTGCAGGGCCGCTGATTCATTTCAGGTCCCCAACCAGGGAGGAGAGGCCGATCCCTACCTCTGGCCCTGCAGAAACCCTCCCAGGGCCCACCCACTCCGGATGGCAAATACAGGGACTCCTGCCCTTGAATCCAGATCTGTCTTGGCTCCAGGGGCCCAGGGAGGGAAGCTGCATCTCTGAGCTCTCCAGCTGGGTGACACCCGCTTGAGAATCAGGCCCCCTGGCTCTGCACACCAAAAGACAAAGGAAGACCCCTCCCCCTGCCAGAGTGGCCAGTATTTAAAGCCAGGACCCCAGGGCCTAGATCCACCACTAAGGATTCCCCTAGAGGAGGACTCTCTAAGCACCCAGGTCCCCAAAGCCAGGCAGCAAGCAGCGGTGAGCAAACCCCAAGAGGCCTCTGCTTTTATGGCCCCCAAGCCCCAGATGTGCAGCTCACCCCCGAGCTGCTTGGGAGGCCACAGAGGGGAACGGCTGATGGATCCCCAGCCAAAGTCCGAGCGGTCCTGGGCACAGCACCACCCTCCCCCATACCTCCTGCCCAGTGTCTCCTCTTTCTCCAACCACCAAAGCAAAGGAACAAGGCTCACTTACTGTGTCTGGGGTGGGGAGGCTGCTGAGTCTGGGTCTGTGGGAAGAGAGCAGAGGAGAGCCTGTCAGGCCTGAGGCTGGTCCCTATGGACTCAGTCCATCCCCGCCCCCTTTCCCAGCCTCCCTCGGGTGCCAGAGACGGGGCCTGGGCCAACCTGGGTGCCTGCTGGGGTCCTGCCTCCCTTCCCCCCGCCACTGCACTGTCATTAAGCTCCCCTACCTAGCCTACTTATACCACCTCCACTCCCACGTCCCAAATCCGACCAGAACCAGCTGCCCTGCCTGCTCTGGGCCTGCCCCCCACCCCCAGCTCCTCAAGGAGCCCCTTGTCCCCAGGCCTGCAGGAAGTTCCTGCTAGGCCGGTCCCCAGTCTCTCCCAGATGACACAATACAAGAGCCCAGAAGCTGCCATTTAACACCGCCTTATCAGGGCACTCCCAACCCTAGGGCCACCGGGACCTCTGGGAGGTGGCTTCTCTGGCTGGTGTGACTCCCTGGGAGAAGCTGCTGGGAAAGAGGGGCTTCGGAGATACAAGCCCCGGGCAGCAACTGTTTCCAAAGCCCAACTAGGGGCCAACCACTTCCATGACCAATGTGTCAAAGTGCGCCAGATGCTGCAAGAATGCTTGGAATCTCCAGTTCCCAAGGGAAGCCATGGAATGCAACTTCTCAATGGTTTTTCCCTTCCTGCTTCTGGGGATCGTGGAGGAGCTGGGAGGCATCCCTGGGAGCCTAGAGCTTCCACCAGGCTTCTCGGCTCTCTGTAGCCCCAGAGGCCCGGAAATGGGAGGACCCAAGGCTCCCAAAAACACCTTACCAGTGATGGGGGCGGAGTCCAAGTGGATCAGTGGGGCATCATCGATGTCCTTCTCTGAAGCCACGCCTGGGACACCCAGGCCAGCGCTGGTGTCCTTGTCATCATCACTGTCCTCAAACTCAAAAGCCTCTCCAGGGTCGTCCTCCGCCTCGGGGGAGGGGCCGGGGCCTCCCAGAACCAGCTGATCTCCTGGAAGGGAGGAGGAGTTAACAGCCGCTGGGTCTAGGGCTTGGTCAAGGAAGATGGCTACAGCGGGGGAGCTTCTGCGGGCCTGAGAGAGGGCACGAGGGCAGTTCCCAGGGCCTCGAGTAGACCCTGCCCGGGCCAGCTGGCCTCCCTGTGCTCAAGAGGTGACCCGTGGTTGGTGAGGGCTGTAAGCAGGTGAGCAGTGGACAGAGAGGAGGGCGCAAAGCCTAAACGGTGAACGGGCGCACAGCTGCGCTTGAACGTACATCTATCATGTTGTTTCCGATTTCCCCATTTTGTTAGCAGGGGGCTTTTAACTGCATCTGGGCATGTGCGTGTGGGCACACACCTCCGTGTGTCGCTCCCTGTGCGTGTGCCCATGTGCCTTTCCCACACACGCTTGTCCTGCACACGGCACAGCCACATAAAGCGCAGCTGCCTGGGTGTCTGGAACCCAAAGGAAACCAGCTTACAGGGACCAGAGTGCAGACCTGCTGGGGCAGGACGAGGAGCCTGCTCCCCCAGATCCCCTTCACGGACATGCCCTCCTGCCGTCCATCAAAGCTCAAGTGAAGCAGAGCCCCGCCCCCACGATGGCCACCCTCTGTCTCAGCCCCTTGTTTTCTACCTCCATCCCTGTATAACCTGCAAAGATGTGTTTTGTGCTGGTTTGTCTTCCCTGGCCGATCTCAGATGCCTAAGAGTCCTTTCTACTGTCCCCTTTAAGGGGACGGGTCATGGCCTGGCCCGCGGTAGAAACTCAGCAACTTCTGTTAAGTAAGAAAAGGACTGGATTCTCTGCCCTAAAGAGTTTAACAGGCTCTCACCTCTAAACCCACTTCACCAAGTTGAGGTCCCCCATCTTCTTCCCCGGAGGACTTCCTTCCTCGAGCCTGGAGCTGGACAGAACCTCAGGGGTTCACTATGCCATTCCCCTACTTCATGCCAACTCTCTCCAAAACCAAAGGACAATGTGGGTTGGTTTTAAAAGTCTGCAAAGCTGGGGCGCCTGGGTGGCTCAGTCAGTTAAGTGTCTGCTTCTGGCTCAGGTCATGATCCCGGGGTCCTGGGATTGAGCCCTGCTCAACAGAGAGTCTGCTTGTCCCCCTGCCCCTCCTCTCCTCTCCCCCTGCCCCTCCTCCCGGCTCGTCCTGGCTCCTCCCCACTCCTCCCCGCTCATGTTCACTCATGCTCGTGCACTCTCTCTCTTTCTCTCGAATAAATAAATAAAGTCTTTTTAAAAAAAGTTTGCAAAAGGCGCCTGGGTGGCTCAGTTGGTTAAGCGACTGCCTTCGGCTCAGGTCATGATCCTGGAGTCCCGGGATCGAGTCCCGCATCAGGCTCCCCGCTCGGCAGGGAGTCTGCTTCGCCCTCTGACCCTCCTCCCTCTCATGCTCTCTGTCTCTCATTCTCTCTCTCTCAAAAAATAAAAAAATAAAAAAGTTTGCAAAGCTGACCACCCCTCCAGTCCTGCTGTAGCTCACGCCACAGGATGTAGAGCATGCGCTTTGGTCCCATCTGGGCCCCCTACCCGCTGTGTGGTTCTGAGCAAGTCTCTCCACCTCTTGGAAGCTTGGTTTCTCCCTCCATAAACTGGAGAATAAAAACAGCACCCACCCCACAAGGCCAAGGTGAACGTGAACTGGGAAGTAGGTCAGGGTTTCCCGGCCCTGCCACTGTTGACTCTGGGGCCCCGGGGTCTTCGTGGTGGGGGCCCTGCAGGATGTATGGAAGCATCCCTGGCCTCTACCCGTTAGAAGCGGGTACTACCCTCCAGTTGTGACAACCACAAATGTCTCCAGACATTGCTCAATGTCCCCTGGGGGACAAAATCACCCCTACCTGGGAGCCGCCAGGGTAGGTGTAGCCCTTGGCCGAGTGCCTGGTGTGGGTACACATTACACAAGAACACCTGTTGTAAGTGCGGCCCCTCCCAGCCAGAATCCTTGAAGACAGGACTGCCTAGCCCGTGTCTGTGGGCTCAACCCCAACAGGTGCTCAGAGGTGGAAGGATGAGTAGGCAGGTAGGAAGGCGGATGGAGTAGACAGACGGCTGGATGGAACAGCAGAGGACGGATGGATGGGCATACCCAATTCTAGCAGTCTCTTGGACTAGAAAAATCCAATCCCTCCCCCACAGGGACCTGGGATTTTACAGAGAACATTCCAGGTGCAAATGTATCAAATTTACAAAGCCCCTTCCCCAGCTGCTAGAGTGCAGCTGAAGCCCAGAGCTCAGCCTTCCCCCCTCCCCAGACAGGGTCCTCTGAGGTGGGGGTCCCCCTCTCCTCCTGGGAGCTTTGGGGACAGCTTAGGCCAACATCAGCAGGGGTGAACTCCTCCAGGCAGTGATGTGGCCGGTGGAGGAAGCTCCTTCCCCAGGTCAGAGACACAAACCCGGGCTGAGAGCCTGAAATGAGCCCCACACAGCTCCTGGTGTAAGCCTCACGACCACCCCCACTGGACATGACGAGACCACAGAGATTCGAGCGGCAAAATGATGCACCCGCAGTCCTACGGCTAGTAGGCGGGGAGCCGGCTCTGAACCCGTTTTGTCTTTGTTCCCATCCTACATTCTTCACTGAGCCCTGTTGCCTTCGGGAAGTTAGCTGAGCCCTTGGACACTGGGCCCCGAGATGATGAATTAATAAAGGAAATCCAGGGGTTGAGTTGGAAGCTGGATTAATGGTTTTCAAATGACAGTCCTCAACCCACTGGTGGGTCAAAAAATCAATTAGGGGATACCAAGGTGGCATTTTGTTTCATTAATGAATTACTTGAGATATTTTTAAATATTTTATTATATATTAATAAAGCCACATTTGGTATTACTTTTGATATGGTTTTGACAGTTCTGTTTCAGTTTGCATATACATATCCACACACATACAGGGGGTATAGAATCTTCTACCACTCTCCCCTCACTCACTCCACTGCAGGCACACTGGTCTCCCTGCTGCACCGTGAATGTGCCAGATGTGCTCTAGCCTCAGGACCTTTGCACTTTCCATCCTGGGGTCCAGAATGTTCTTCCCCAGGTGTCTTCTCCTGCTCTCACCTCCTTCAGGTCTTTACTCCAGGTCATCTCCAGATGAGGCTGCCATGACCAAAACTGCCCATAGAGACACCCTAGGACTCCCTGATGGCCTTGCCTGGTTTACTTTTCTCTATGGCCCTTGTCAGCAGTGATGTTCCATGCTTTCATTCATTTTACTGTGTCCTAACTAGAACGTAAGCTCATGAGGGATTCTAGTCTGTTTTGCTCACTATTATATCCCCAGCATCTGCTATAGTGCCCAGCACACGGTAGGCATACAATAAGTCTGCTGAACACACACACACACACACATTCCTGTTCTCATGCCTATGGGTTGTGGTTTTACTTTTTTATTTTATTTTTTAAAGATTTCATTCATCCATTTGACAGAGAGAGAGAGAGCACAAGCAGGGGGAGCGGCAGGCAGAGGGAGAAGCAGGCTCCCCGCTGAGCAGGGAGCCTGATGTGGGACTTGATCCCAGGACCTTGAGATCATGACCTGAGCCAAAGGCAGATGCTTAACCGACTGAGCCACCCAGGAGCCCCTATGGGTTATGGTTTTAAAAGTTCAAAATACTGGGGAGCCTAGGTGGCTCAGTCGGTTAAACATCCAACTCTTGGTTTCGGCTCAGGGCGTGATCTCAGCAGGGAGTCTGCTTCTCTCCCTCTCCCTCTGCCCCTCCCCCCGCACTCACTCTCACGTGCGCGCACTCTCTCTCTCTCAAATAAATAAATCTTTAAAAAAAATAAAGTAAAACAAAAGTTTAAAAATGCTGGAATGAATGACTACAAAGTCCCCGCCCACTATTTTGGGCTACCAGATATAGACCCACCCTGACCCTCAGTGCCCTTGGCCCCTCCCACTTGAATCCGCCGGAGTCCCAGCGGGGACACTGTGCGCCCGGCCAGTATCCCGTGGTGACTAGCGTGTCACAGTCAGACCACCAGGCTCCAACCCCAGCTCTCCTAGACGCTGACCAGATGAACACGGGGTCACTGTATCCCCCAGGCTGCAGCTTCCTGACCTACAACAAGGACAAGAACAGCGACCAGCTCTCAGGCTGGTGGGGAGGCCGGACACCTGACAGGAGGGCCGAATGAACCGACCTATGTAGAGTGCCTGGTGTGAGGCTCACTGCTGGTAATAGTCCAGCCCATTGTCAGGACCACAACATCATTACCATTATCTTTGTTATGCTTATGATTATTATGATTACTGCCTTGAGTCAGAGCGCAGCCCAGGGCCTGAAGGCAGACGCTTAAGGAGATGCACGGGCCTTCCCAGTCACAGGCCTGGCCCTCGGAGCAACTGGCCACAGGCTGTGTGCAGGAGGGACGTCGATGGATATGGTCACCGTCACTCCCGCATCCAGGGGACTGTTCCCAGCAGCCCCGGGGCCAGGAGGTTCAGAGAGGAGTAAGACACGGCCCCTCAGTGTCAAGGAGCTCACTGCAGGTGAGGCAGGCAAGAGAGATGAGGCTCGAACCCCAGGGCCTGAGCCGTGCCCAGTGACAGCCGGGTGCTCACGCTGGCAGGGGCCACCCCTGCACAGAGCCTCGCAGGATGAGTAAAGGTCTGACAGGCTCACAGCGGGGCTGGTGTCCCAGGCTGCGGCCACAGCAGGAGTGGAGAACACGTAGCATGTGACCCAGGTGAGCCAAAGACACGAGCAAGGAGGCTGGCAGCTATAGGACCGTAAAGAGGTGTTTGGGGGAATTTGAATCTTACTTGGTAAGAAAACAGGAAGCTCTCACACAATCAGCAAATGGCAGAGAGCCTGTTTCAACCATATGACACTAGCCAACAACATCAGATATAACTGGAACAGTAAGTCAAATGTTTGTTGAACAGGACCGAGTTGACGTAATCATAAAATCATTTTGTTCTTACTTTTTGGTGAATAGGAAAAAGGGTAACAAAATGCCCACGGCAGCAGGAGACAGAGCAAGGAGCATCCTGGGACCCAAGCCACAGTCATGCATCAGGAGATGCCCTTGTCCCCCACAGCCCTGTTCTCGTGCTCCTGAGACCCAGGCAACCAGACATGGCTCCTTATCAGAAGGCAAAATCAGGAGGCCCCTCCCTGGATAATTGAGAGCTGAACTGAGCCCTTGCCACCTATCTGGACAGGTGGCCTGAGCAGAGCTGACCACACTGGGCTTTGATGTTCCAGGCTACACCCCAGCCCTGGGAGAGCCAACCCCAGCAAGCCCAGGAGGCAGGAGACCTGAGAAGCCACCGTGCACCACGAACGAAGGTGGCTTCACTATGTGGGTCCCCCACCCTTCGGAGAAGAACACAAAGGCTCAAGGAGGAAGGGACGCCTCCTTGGTCTCTGCCCGGGGCTCAGAGCAGAGCACACGGGGCCGTCCTGCAACACCCACAGCAATAATAGCTCCCATTCATTGAGCAATTGATTACCACACGCCAGGGCTGCCCGTATATTTAAGCCTTGCAACATCCGCCGAGAGGGCTGCACTACTGTCCCCGTGTTTATGGGTGATGAAGCTGAGCCACAGAGACAGCAGCAAGTTGCTCAACTAAGCGCACAGTGTCAGTGGAGGGCTGGGCTGGTGAAAAGCCCTCACTCACGACCTCTCTGCTCTCTGCCTCCCCCAGAGGATGACCAAAACATAGGAAGCGGGGCCCACTGGGTAAAGGGTGTCCAGGTCCTCTGGGGCAGGGGAGCCCGGATTCCACCTACGGTGTCCGAGGCCCCACTGCCAGGGTTACTGCCAGAGAAACTAGCGGACAGCAAATTCCATTTCAGATTAACAACAAATAATGTTTCAGCATACGTGTGGGTCTTTCCTCATCTTCTTTTTTGTTCCCCGATAACTCTGGCGACCCTGCCTCCACTAGACGACCCAGCCTCAGCACACTGGCGGATAGAGGTGGACAGGCCAGGCCCTTCCCCTCAACCCTCGCCGCCCTCAGTTCATGAGCTTCACCCCCAAGCACACGACACTCCTGTCGTCATGTCTATGGGTTGTGGTCTTAAAAGTTTAAAATCTCCAGGGGCGCCCCGGTGGCTCAGTCGGTTAAGCGTCTGCCTTCAGCTCAGGTCATGATCTCGGGGTCCTGGGATCGAGCCCCGCATCGGGCTCCCTGCTCA